GCTTGGGGGGGGGGGGCTGAAAGTTGGGTGGGCGGGGCCTCAGGGAGTCACCAGGGCGAGGCTACCAGTGTGAGCCAGGTTGCTGGAGTCCCAGATATGGCGACTGTCTGCCGCCCCAGGGAAGGGCTCACCAAAGGAACAAAGGCCTCTGACAGCACGTTTGTCCTGGAGAAAGCCCCTTCTCCAGCCCTCGCTCCAGCGCCAAACAGCTCAGTTTTTCCCTGTGTGTCTCTGGCGCCCCTCGAGCTGCCTCCCCTCCAAGCTCAGAGGGAGAGAGTCCGATAAGTCCGTGCGCGGGTCCTTTAAGGAGCTGCCTGGGGCTCCAGCCGCTTCAGCCTCCCTGAGCCTCAGTTCCCGCTGGTTTTCCAGCCAGAAGTGATGGGGATTCTCTTCCTGGCACTGGAACCCTGAGCGGGGCACCTGGTGTGGGACGGGGACCCCTCAGTCCTCAGGGAGGACCTTCCCAGCCGAGGTGTCCTCATTTTTATCTGCCACACGTGGGTGTGGGACCAGCCCGTCTGCCCCTCCTACCAGTCTGGATGTGGCTGCTGCTTTAATTCCGTAGTTGTAGGACTTCCGTTCACCTTGATTTCAGGCGGTTCTGAATGATGGTTGTTCTGTAGTTTAGTTGTAACTTTGATGTGGTTGTGAGAGGACGCGATACCGTGTTTACCTCCCCACCGGAAGTCCCATAGTATAAACATTTTAACAATATTAATTTTTCTGCTCCATGAACATGGGCTATCTTTCCATTTCTTTGTGTCTTTTTTTTTTTTTTTTTATAAAAGTCTTGTAGTTTCAAGTATACAGATTTCCATGGTTAAATATATTCCTAAGAATATAATTTTATTGCATTTATTGGGGTGCTACTTGTTAATAAACATGTTTCAAATGTACAATTCTATATTACATCATCAACATATTGTATTGTGTTCACCACCCCAAGTCAAGTCTCCTGTCACCATTTATACCCCCTTTACCCTCTTCTACCGCCCCACCCCCTTCCCTCTGGCAATCACCATACTGTTGTCTGTGTCTGAGGTGTTTTTTTGTTTGTTTGTTTGTTTAATCCTGTCACCTATTTTACCCAGCTCCCCAAACCCCTCCCAGAATTTATTTTTGATATTGTGATTGCGATTTTCTTTTTTCAGATATTTCATTATTAGTGTATAGAGATGCAACAGATATTTGTATGTTGATTTTGTATCCTGTAAACTTACTGCATTTGTTGATATAACAATTTTGGGGTGGAGTCTTTAACATTTTCTCCATACAAGAACGTATCATCTGCAAGTAAAGACAATTTTACTTCTTCCTTTATGATTCAGATGCTTCTTTTTCCTGCCTGATTGCTCTGGCCAGGACTTCCAGAACTATGCTGGAAGGGAGTGATGAGGGTGGACATCCTTATTTTGTTCATCTTAGAGGATAAACTTTCAACCTGTAATTGCTGAGTATGATGCCGGCTTTGGGCTTGTCACAGATAGTTTTTATTATGTTGAGGTTCATTCTTTCTATACCCAATTTTTTATAACTTTTATCACGAAGGGATAAATGCCCAATTGTTTTGGGTGTGGTGGGGCACAAACAAGGAGCATCTAATGCCGCCATGTTGCCAACATCACTTCTGAAGTTGGTTGTCTTTGGTGAGGTTCATCAGGGCTGGGAAGACATGAACACTCAGTGGTCAGATGTCTGCTCTCTCTGCTTTGTCCTCTTGTCCCTAGGTGCCACCCCTTTCAGTTCTGAAGGCTCAAGGTTCAAAATCGAGGTGATGGCAGGTTTAGTTTCTTCTGTGAGCCCTAGGGAAGGACCTCTTCCCGGCATTTCTCGTTGGTTTGCAGGTGGCTGCCCTCTTGCTTCCTCTTCCCACGGTCTTTCCACTGTGTCCTCAAAATCCCACATATTCTTAAAACTCTTCCAGGCTAGATGACAAACACTGGTACTTCACACCCTGGCATTAATTTCGAGACATGAATTCCTTTAGCTATTGAAATCTGTAAACAAAAATGGATAAAATCATAGCCAGCTGACATGGCTTTCACGAGAGCAGTAAAGGTTTGAGTTCAAAGACCAAGACCTGAAGGACAAAGTGTGGGCTCTCAGAGGATCACCTCCAGGCCTGTGTGGTCCCAAGTAGCTGTATTCGTGGTCTACCCTCCCCTGGGAGAAAGCTGCTCACGTCTGAAACACAAGTTTTGTAAAAAGTGCGACAGAAGGCTGTGACCATTCACCATGTGGCAAGTCATCTTCCTCTTTGTGCTTCAAACACATGAGCAGGCCCATGACTGTGGTTTATGGTTTGTTGGAAGTGCTTCTCAAGTATGGGCCTGGCCATGCTGTATCCTGGTCTGGGCCACTCTCTCACGGGCTGTGAACAGTCTTGTCCTCATGAGAGGGTCTCTGCACTCAGCACAGATTCTGCCCCATAGGTTGTGCATAAAAATGTACTCCGTGGACAGGGTGGTAAATTAAGACAAAATGACCCCTCTCTCCTTTTCCCATGAGAGCACTTGATGAACTAAGGGAAACGCAGAGTGTGGCAAATGTAATTTCTCTATAAATAAGGATGAACGTGATCAATGGTCCTTCCAATAATTACCACACAGAAACACAGAAATACCGCAGTAGAAATATAATTAGGTTTTCAAAGAACAGAAGTTTGCATGCACACATTTCCACATAACTCAAGAACCCCAGTGTTATTTATTTCTATTATATCTAGACACAAAATGCCCTAAGATTTACAAAAGCAACGATACAAATTTTAAACACTTTTACAAAGATGAAAATATAGAGAAGTGAAGACTATGGAATTTTGTTTGCAAACAATTTTACTTTGAATCCATCTTGTGTGAAAACCAAACAGTTCATCAGAATTTGTATTGGATGCTATCTGTTAGAATTTCAGTAGTCAAAATCGATGAAATCCTAATCATCAATAGTCTAGGGCAAATAACAATATAATTAAAATTAATATGATCTTTAATTATTCCCATAAGTACTTCTGCTATAATTTCCTATTTATTAAAACTTTTATTTAGGGAATAAAACTGACATTATAATGCTATTTCAGTAACGAGCATAAGCCTTAGTTAAATCTTCAATCCCAACTTTTAAAGTTTAGCTTTTCTGCTAATCTGAAACTATTTTTTGGTTCATTGCTAACGTTTACAATGTCTTAAGAGAATGTGATTTAAAGTCATTTTTGTCTGGAGAGTGCTTATGTTTTTTCTGTTTTTATACTGAAGCAATAAGGCAAGAAAGTTTTCCTTCCCCAAATCAGACAGACAATATCTATCCACTTTACAGTTCTGACCAGTCACTGCAAATCATCCTGTCAACAGGACTTTGGGCCGCTGTGTTCCTCTGTATTGGAACCATACATAAGATTAGCAGTGATGTTGCCCATGAAGGTTGAATTCACAAGCATTTGAGCTTAAGTCAGGACATAGATATTGCCACTTCTGTCTATGCTTCAATTTCAGTTAATAAGACACAGTTTTCACAATCACCTTTGATAAATTTGAAGATGAAGTCAGAAAACACTACATGAAGCTGAACCTGGATGACTCTGCTACAAGAAAATATGCTTGAGGGGTCCAGAGTGGTTTTGCAGTGTCGGGTAAGTGTCGGCACACTGTGCCCCAGCCTCCTGGAGACGTGCAGCCCCACCCCAGGCAGGTGGCCCAGGTTTGGGCACCTTCCTGCTCCCACGGGCCTGGCCCACGACTGCCGTGGCAGGATCACGGCCCTGCAGGAATCACCAGGCGCCAGGTAGAGTATGTCGTCTGCTGCAACATTCTCCTTCAAGGCAGGCCCTTCTGGATACGTGAATGAGACGAATCACATGACCTGGCCTGCAAAAGACTTCCTAAAATCATGTCTCAGCATGAACGAGGACCAGGCTTTGCAGTATACACTTTTCATTAGCACCATAGTTAAGCCTGAACTGAGGTAAAGATAAACTCTCAGGTAGCTTTGGGTGAAAATTACAGTAGCAATTTTGTGTGGGGTTTTCTGGGGGGAAGGGTGCTTATTCTTCTACTTTCTTTCTGTTACAGTAGCAATTTTGAATGGGTTGTCTACAGCAGTATTCTTTCTGATCATGAAAATAAGTTGCTTGAAGAACCATTTGATCCCAAGTATATATACATGCAAGTATGTATCAAAATTGATAAATTATAAAGCTAGGTAGGTAAGCTTTTAACAGGAGAAATGCAGCAAATAAGAACTTTCATTTTTAAAATTTAAACTGAACTCTCAATTTTAAAATTTAAACTATGTCACTGTTGGGTTGATGAAGTCAAAGATTTCAGTAAAGTACACCAAACCAGTATCACAAGGCCAGTTCATCAAATGGCAATGCCCAGAAATGCCAATTTTCAGAGCATGGTCAGGTTTTCTGTAGATGCTACACTGTCACCATCCGGCTCCCACAGGACGTAGGTCAGTCTACCTGTCCCGTTTGTTGCTCTATTTAATGGAAAGTATTCTCTCTCTTCCCCAACTATTTTAATTTATGTAGATAAACCTCTCTGGAACTTGTACTTACCATTTATATAAAGGGATAGAGAAGGAAAGAACCTAAAACTTGGTTAAAATTTTGAAGGGGTACAATATATTTCAGCAAATGAAAACAGTGTTTACAAAACAAAATGAGATAATTCTCTAATTTAGTTCCTACAAACTGGGAATGAGAAATAATGTGTAAAAGGACTAATGAAAACTTTTCCGACTGCCCCCCACCCCTGACTTAACATTACTTAACTCTCTGTTGAGAGTCAGATGAAAACAGGTAACTTTCCCCTGCAGCCTGTGGAAACATTTTTGGGAAACGGTTTAAGGATTGTACTTAGCCTAAAAATTCAGCTGAATACTGCAGATCAGTCTCCAGAAAACTCATGTAAACATACTTCCTTTATAAATCTACTGGTGCGAAGGGCACCCAAAGGTAATATACACAGAGATACATTTTACTATGTTTGCAAGGATGCTAATTAATAAATGAGATCTTTCAGTTCCTGGTCGGTCAGTTCGTTCACTTCCATGATCCTCTCTAAATGTTCCATGTATCGCTCCTGGTCCTGCAGGAAGTGAGGGACCCTGGTGTTTTCAGTAACCGCCAATCCTTTTAAGCGATCCACATCTTCGTAGGAGACCTGAGAAAAGGAAGCTGTGTCTATTTTACATGTAACTACCAGTTACATATTGAAGAGCAATTTCTTCCCTGTGTATTAAGTGAAACTTTAAGTATGTGGACTGTTTTTCAAATTTACTTCAATACCTGAAAAATAGCAAAAATCAGTGGCTTCTTTTTCTTATTTATTTTTTGAATTTTATTTATTGATTTCAGAGAGAGGAAGGGAGAGAAGGAGAGAGAGAGAGGAGGAGGAAGGAAAAAAGAGAGAGGGAAGGAGGAAGAAAATAGAGAAACATCGATTTGTTCACTTATTTCTGCATTCACTGGTTGTTTTTTGTGTGCCCTCACCAGGCAACCTTGGGGTACCAAGAGGATGCTCTAATGAACTGAATTACCTGGCCAGGGCTTCTTGTTTTTTTGTTTAATCCTCATCTGAGGACATTTTTGCATTTATCTTCAAATAGAGCAGAAGGGAGAGTGGGAGGGAGAGAGAGAGAGAGACATCAACGTGAGAGAGACACATCAAGTGGTCGCCACCCACACGACCCCAATCACCCCAATCGGGGCCGGGACAAACTGCAACCGAGGTACGTGGCGTACCCTTAGCAGGAACCGAATCCGGGACTCTCCGGTCCACGGGCCGACGCTCTAACTGCTGATAGATAAATGCTCTATCTAAAGATAAATGCAAAAATGTCCTCGGATAAGGATAAAAAAAAAGAATTTTACTATTATATCTGTATTTTATTTTTATTAGTTATTATTATAAAAATTACTTATTTTTTGAGTATTTATATCACTAGTATAATGAAAATAGGTTTTTTTGTTGATAGTGACATGGTTTATAATCTTAAACCATTCTTAGTTTCTTACAGAGAGAATGAGTAAATATATTAATGTGCTATTTTAAGAGCAGGGAGATACATTATGGAATGGGCTTGAAGGTGTGGAAGAACCCGTGGTGTTGATTTGGCCTAAAATGCCGCATAATTTAAAACACACAAAATTTGCTCACTGAAAAGGTCCGGCAGCATCAGCACCCTGTAGCAGTGAGCACATCTAGTACTCAGATCTTGTTTTCTAAATACCACTTCCCACTAGGAGGAATCGAGGCTTCCTGGGAGAAACATCTCATCTCAGATGTGGGGAGGAAAAGTGTTTAAGATGAGCTCAGAACATTTTACTTTGCCAGAAAACATGGAGACTTAAAAAAGCACAGGGGCAGCCACGGGAAGGACTGACAAAAAAGAAATAAGTACATCACGCCACTACAAAAAAGGGGAGCGAAATGTTACTGAATCCAAAGACCTCTATTTTGCTACTAGCAACGTAGGAACTGATTTGGGCAAAGATCATCGATGGACGTTAAAACCATTCCTTGAAAAGCTGAGGGACGTTCACAGGTATCATCCCACAGATTCCTTATTAATTCAGTCAGGAAAAGGTGCCTTTACAATGGCGAGATCTGACCGTGGTAACTGACTTACCCAGGTGAGTGCAAACAGCATCGCCAATAAAGAGACAGAATGACATTAAGTGCCTTATAATGCAATGCAATGGGGAACACAACTTGTTCCCCATTAAAAAAAATTTTTTTTTTTTTTATCCTTATCTGAGGACATTTTTGCATTTATCTTGTTTATTCTTGGCAAAATCTTTAACTGAAGCTCATCACAAGGAAACAATCTGATCATGACTAGAAATTTTCAAGAAAACTATCCTGGATTCTTTAAAATGTCATGAAGCCCTGGCCGGTTTGGCTCAGCGGTTAGAGCGTCAGCCTGCCGACCAGAGAGTCCTGGGTTTGGTTCCCCAGCTACTAAGGACAAGTACCTCGGTTACAGTTTGCCCCAGGCCCTGGTTGGGGTCATGTGGGTGGCAACCACTCCATGTCACATTGATGTTTCTCTCTCTCTTCCCCCCTCTCTCCCTCCCGCTCTATCTGAAGATAAATGCAAAAATATCCTCAGTTGAGGATTAAACAATAAATAAAATGTCATGAAAAACAAAAGGATGGGGGGCAAGTGCTGGGGGGGGGGCAGGCTGTAACAGAGTTTTTTTTTTCTACAGAGTGAGGAAGGGAGAGAGAGAGAAACATCAATGAGAGAGAACATGGACTGGCCACCTCCTGCATGCCCCCACTGGAGATTTGGCCCACAACCTGGGCATGTGCCCTGACTGGGAATCCGAGACCTCTTGGTCAACATTCAACCACTGAGCCACACTGGCTGGGTGGGCTGTTATAGATTAAAAGAGATTGAAATCACGCCCTGGCTGGTTTTGCTCAGCGGTTAGAGCATCGGCCCATGGACCGGAGAGTCCCAGGTTCAGTTCCCGCTAGGGGCACATACCTCGGTTGTGTTTGTCCCCAGCCCCGGGTGAGGTCCTGTGGGTGGCGACAAGTTGATGTGTCTCTCTCTAACATCAATGTTTCTCTCTCTCTCTTCCTCCTTCTCTCTCTCCTGCTCTATCTGAAGATAAGTGCAAAACTGTTGAGTGAGGATTAAAAAAAAAAAAAAATTAAAAGAGACTGAAGACTTGAATATATGACCTGAAACAATAAATTACATAGAAGAAAACATAGGCACCAAACTTATGGACCTTGGTCTCAGAGGGGTTTTCTGAACTTGACTCCAACGGCAAGGGGATTAAAAGCAAAAATAAATGAATGGGACTACATAAAACTTGCTCTTCTGCACAGCAAGAGAAACCATCAAGAAAACAAAAAGGCAACCAACCAAACGGGAGAAGGTGTTTACAAACCATACTTCTAATAAGGGGCTAATATCCGAAATATATAAAGAACTCATACAACTCAACAACAAAAAGCAATCCGATTAAAAAATAGGCAGAGGAATTGAATAAACACTTTTCTAAGGAAGACATATAGATGGCCAATAGATACATGAAAAGATGTTTAAATTCGCTAGCTTTAAGGAAAACACTAGTTAAAACCGCAATGAGGTAACACCACATACCTATTAGAATGGCTATTATCAATAAGACAAGAAATAACAAGCGTTGGAGAGGATGTGGAGAAAAAGGAGCCCACACACTGCGGGTGGGAATATAAACTGGTGCAGCCACTATGGAAAACACTATAGCAGTTCCTCAAAAATTTACAAACTAAGTTACCATATGACCCAGCAATCCCTCTTTTGGGTATCTACCTGAAAAATTTGAAATTACTTACAAAAATATATGTACCCCTATGTTCACTGCAGCATCATTCACTATAACCAAGACAGGGACACAACCTGTTTCCTTTGAGAGACGACTGGATAAAGATGTGGTACATGTAAGCCATGGAATCTACTTGGTCATAGAGAAACATGAAATGTTGCTATTTGCAACAACATGGGTGGATCTTGAGTATTATGCTAAGTGAAGTAAGTCAGATGGAAAAGGACAAAAACTATATGATTTCACTCCTTTGTTGGATATAAACAAAACAGACAGACAACCAGAGGGGAAGGGGGAAAAGGAGGTCAAATATATTGTGACAGAGGAGACTGGGCTTTGGGTGGTGAGAACACAATGGACTATTTAGATGTTGTATTATTGAGTTTTACACCTAACATTTATATAATGTTATTAACCTATGCTACCCCAATAAATTTAATTTAAAAATAAAGTAAGTGGAACTGGAAAGAAAAGAAAAAATATCTGGTCATGTCAGAAGGGCAGACGCCTGCTGATGTATTAAGAGGGCAAGTGTTAGATCTACAGAGTACTTTAAAATTTTTTAGAAAAAGATGTATATAAAAATAAAACTACAGACTGTATTCTCAGATCTCCTATTCTCTTCTTCATCTCTCACTGTCCACAAAGAGAGTTTGCAATTTGGTTCCACGGCAGAACCACATTTCCTCCCTCCTCTTGCTCAACCAGATAAAACTACGTAAACCTGAACCTGAGTCTGACGGCATCACAAGCTGAGCTGGAGGAGACGCGGACCCAGGTGCTGGAGACTCTGTGCCGCGTCACTCACCTTCCCCAGGGCGGTCAGCAGGGGAAAGTCAATGGTGTCCCGGTGCCGGAGGAGTCGCAGGATGCCGTCCAAGTACACCTGGTCTTTACTGAAACACCCTGCAGGGACCACAACAGTGTTTACTAGCTGATGTCTGACTCCTTTACTGTAGGAATCAGTCCTGCATAAAAAAAATTCTGATTTGCCATGTTTATTGTTATTTAATTACTATATCTTTGTAACAGCAAATGTAAGGTCTTTGGAAGTACCAGGATAATATGAGACCAGTAGCCTCCTTTTAAGAATTTCTTCTCTCCAGATTCCCACTCCTCATAATTAAAACAGCATTTTTTCCTAATTTAAATAAACACTGGCAATTTAAATGATGACTCATAAATAATTATCCCACCTTCACCCCCACCCCTACCATCCGAGTGCCACCCTAGCTCCATGATGCAATGAAGGTATCTGGGTGGGGAGGCCCGGGGGGAGGAGTTTAGAGCAGTTAGGTCTCAAGGCGGGCAATGAGGAAGCACAGGGTTTCAGAAACTGCTAATTTAAAAAAAAAACCAATACCCTTTACCCCGTTATTTCTAATAATAATATTCTTCCCTATGCTATTATGCTTCTTTATGAAAACAAGAATTAAGACTGGATTTGAAAGAATATGGAGGTTTATAAACAGAAAAAATGTGGACCAAAACGAGTAGAAACAACTCGTGAGATCTGAGCCTACTTCAAAAAGGGTTCCATTTGCAAAGGAAACCCTTCTCCCATCATGACACAGTAAATTTTTTAAAATTTCAGCTCTATTAAATGGACCAAAATCCTACCCTATGGAGAGGGCTATATTATGAAATTGTGGATTTTGTTAGCTATGCTAATAGCACGGGGATCGTGAGAAACAAGTTGTCCAATCAGGCAGAGTCTCACACTGAGGTGTCTCCAGGTAGAAGGGCAGATGTCTGGAGTTGGCTTTAGACACTGTAGGAAAACAGGAACTCGGGAGAACAGATGAACCACGGTTAGATAATGTTCGCAACTACTAAACTGAGTAATATTTAATGAGGGTTCATTTAGCACACTCATCACTCTTCTTTTGTATGCATTTGACACTTTCAGCTATCAAACGTGTTGCAGGACTCGAGTGGAAGTGCTGTGCCTCCGAGGGTGTGCAGGGCGACGGGCCAGCCCTGCGCATCTAAGTGCGAGGCTTGCGCAGAGGCAAGGGGCCCAAGAAGAGGAGGGAGATGGCAGAGGGCCGATCTGAAGCCACCGGAGTGGCTCTGCACACCCGAGGGGCAGGGCACCGTCTTCCTCCCTGCTTCCCGTCCTCCTGGGTGGCTCTCGGGACCACGCTTTCATACAGCGACCACACAGGTATGAAACGTGGATGGGGCTGCGCTGGCAACATAACCATCACAGGCTTGGGTATTTCCAAGTTCCAAACAAACAGTTTTAAATACTTCTAGAAGAAAATTTGTTGATATTTTGAATTAATCTTAAAGTTAAAATGACTTTTAAATGAACATTCCCTAATTCCCATCCTTTTTCAAAAGCATTTTGTACTGCTTTCTAATCTAACTGTGTAAAAAAAAAAAAAATTAGCCCTAGCCGGTGTGGCTCGGTTGGTTGGAGCATCGACCCGTACACTGAAAGGTCACGTGTTCCATCCCAGTCAGAGCATATACCCAGGTTTTGGGTCTGATCCCAAGTTGGGGTGCTTATGGGAGGCAACCAATCGATGTTTCTCTCTCTCTTTCCCCTCCCTTCCTCTCTCTCTAAAATAAGTGAATATGCATCCTCGGGTGAGGATTTAAAAAAATCAATGTGCAGCCTTCACACTGCTGACAAAGGCCGAAACTCTCCGGGTAGCATGCGTACTTAAACCAGACAGCTTGTGAAGACAAAACACGCTGGGATTGTACTCCTTGCCACTATTTTCTTTAGAAAAATAACAATAATAATAAAGTGGTAGGAATTTCTCGTGAAATTAATAGCTTCAGGTAAGGACTGCTGATGGATGCTAAAACCATTAGATGAAACTGTTGGAAAACAGGATATTTTCACAGATCACTTAATAATTAAAAGGGGAAGAGGAAAACATACTTTTAGGAAGAAAAGAGCTCGCAATTCCCACATTCAATAGCATCCAAGTTAGCATCTCTGAGGGGTAAACCACCTGTCATCAGGTGGCTCCTTACATGACCCAGTAGCACTTACGTAGTACTCTTGTTTAAGTGTCTACCCTGAGTCTAACCATGAGGAAACAATCAGACACTTCCAGGCTGTGGGCATCTGTAAGAACCGCAGCGTGGACTTTAAAATAAAGTCACTACATGGAAACAAAACACGTGGGAAGATTGCTCCAAATGAAGAGAGGCCAAAAAGACACAGCCACCCACAGCCAGGCACGGACCCCACCTGAACTGGATTCTCTTTAAACAGCCACACCGGACGCTTTCGTAACAGCTGGGGAAATCGGACTGTGGCGTGTGCACGTGTTGAGTTTGCTGAATTCATGCTCGCTTTGTAAAGTGTGAGATTATGCTTCATTGGGGAGAAGAATGTTTCTTCCTGAGGAGACACATGCTCAAGACTTTAGGAATCAAGCCCTGGCCAGTTTGGCTCAGTGGTTAGAGTGTCGGCCTGCGGTACAGAGAGACCCGGGTTCGGTTCCCGCTAAGGGCACGTACCTCGGTTGCAGTTTGTACCCGGCCCTGGTTGGTCGTGCGGGTGGCAGCCACTTGATGTGTCCCTTCATATCGATGTTTCTCTCTTTCTCTCTTCCTCTCTCTCCCTCCCGCTCTATCTGAACAAAAAAAAAAAAATGTCCTCGGGTGAGGATTAAAAAAAAAAAAGACTTTAGGAATCAAGTGTGAAGCATACAATTCACTTTTAAAAGTCACAGAGCATACCATCAAGAGAGTGAAAAGACAGCCCACAAAAATAGTAGAAATCATTTGTAAGTCATATGTCTGACAAGAGATTCGTACCTAGAATATACAAAGAACTCTAAAATTAAAAATAAAAACAACTGAATTTAAAAATGAGCAAAAGATCTGAACAGGTACCCAAAGAAGATATACAAATGGCCACTAAGCACATGAAAAGATGCTCAACATTATTCATCACCAAGGAAACGCAAACCATACCCAACAGGAGGTATCACTTCACACCACTCGGGTGGCTGTGAAAACGACAGCAGAGGAGGCTGTGGGGAAACTGGAACCCTGACACTGCTGGGGGGCTGGAAAATGGTACAGCCACTTGGGAACACAGTCTGGCAGTTCCTCAAAAGGTTAAACATGCAGTTACCATTTGACTCAGCAATTCCACTTCTGTTAAAGAGAATTAAAAACATGAACCTGTACACGAATGTTCAGAGCAGCATCATTCATAACAGCCAAAAAGTGGAAACCACCCAAATTTTCATGAACTGGTGAATGGGAAAATAAAGTTGTCAAATCCATGCAATCAAATATTATTCAGCAATAAAATATACTGAATTACTGATACATGCTTTAAAACATTATGCTAAGTGAAAGAAGCCAGTCACCAAGAATGACATATTATCTGATCCAGTTACATGAAATGTCCAAAACAGGGGAACCTACAAAAGTAGATTACTGGTTACTGAGAGCTGGGCAGAGGGAATGGGGAATGACTACTAGGTACACATTTCTTTTTGGGGTGATGAAAACGTCCTGGGGTTAGAAATTAGTGATGGCTGCATGAGTCTGAATATTCTGAAAACCACTGAACTGTACTTTTTATTTAATTTATTTTTTTAATTATAGCTAACATTCAATGATTTCTTTTCTTGAATTGTACTTTTTAAATGGGTGAATTGTATGTCATGTGAATTATATCTCACTAAAGTTGTTTTTAAAGTCAGAGAGAGAGAAACAAAAAAATGGCAAAATGTTAACAATTGGTGAATCTAGAGAAAAAGTAGTGAGTGTTCATTTTATCATTATTTCTATATTTCTGTTGGCCTGAAAGTTTTCAAAACAAGATGGGAAAAGTGATGCTAACGACGTGTGGTCTGGGAAAACCAGCACTGACTTCAGTGACACAGGCTTCAGTTTTCACAGATGAGCGAATGCTCTGCTTCGTGAGTTAGGATGTAACCAAAATCAATAAACAACCACCCAAAGTCCGAGGACCTGCAGTCAGGGACCCCACCTGGTTGGGAAGTGTCGGTCCAGCCCCTCTTGGCTCGCACACAGTAATCCCATCTCGTGTTGGGGTCCTTGACAAACTTCCCGATGCTTTCGAAGAGTCTGCAGAACGACATCTGGCTGGCTTGGTACACAGTGTAGTACAGGAGGGCCGCCCTCCATAGAAACGGGTCCTTTCTAAACAGGACACTATGAATACTTGCCAGCCCTTCCTCCGTGGGATTGTTCGGTTTCAGCTCATGCTTTTTACGGCCAGTCCAACTGTTCCATGGCTGCTGGAGGTTGTTAATACCTCGAAAATAGTGTGTGCCTATTGAGAAGAGAGGCACGTGAAAACAAGAAATGCCATTCTTTTTTCATTCTTACCAAAAAACAAAACAAAACAAAAAAACAACATTCAACCAGCAGTTCTAAAGCCAAATTGATGCGTCCCTACAGTCGAAACAAAGCCGAAGACGGCGTGATCCTGAAGCTCCGGTGTGAAGGAGCACACTGCCCTTCGAAGGCTCACGTGTCATCAGAAGAGGAACAATTTTTATAGCAGTTTATTTTTGTAAAGGGAAAAATCATAGACTTGATATTTGAAAAGAATCTCAGCCCTGGCCGGTTTGGCTCAGCGGTTAGAGCGTCAGCCTGCGGTCCAAAGAGACCTGGGTTCAGTTCCCGCTAAGGGCACGTACCTCAGTTGCAGTTTGTTCCCGGCCCTGGTTGGGTTGTGCGGGTGGCAGCCACTTGATGTGTCCCTTTCATGTCAATGTTTCTCTCCCTCTCTCTCCCTCTCTCCCTCCTATTCTGTCTGAACAAAAAATGGAAAAATGTCCTCAGGTGAGGATAAAAAAAAAAAATCTCAGAGATCATGTAATTTAATTCCTTCAGTTTAAGGTCAAGAACCTGAAATCCTGGGGGGGGGGGGGGTTGAAATGACTGTTTAAACTTAATGCAGCGACATGGTGCGCTGCAAATCTACTCCAAATGAGACATTCATTATCGTAGCTTTAGTTCAAGTGAAATCTAACAACTGCATTACTTTTTGCCAAACATAACCAAGAGAAGAGCGCTTCTGTGACGCTGCTTCCGACACTGAACGAGCAGGGGAGAGGGCTGCCCCACCTATTTCGTGCCTCAGCATTCCCTCCAGCCAGTGCTCACGTGCCGTGGAGACGTTGATGGTCAGCGTCGGACACCCATTTACTACTGTCATGGACGCTCGGGAAAGTAGGTCCTCGGTGAGATGAACTACAATCTGAAGAGCAACAGGAAACACACACACACACATCAAAATGTAAAGGTAGGGGAAACAGTGGCCCTCCTTTTGTTTACACCACCCAGAAGCAAAGGATGAAATGCAGGCCAGTCGTTCTGACCCTTCTGGTTCTGAGCCTGTGGGAACTCACGGGCCTTGACTGTGATGAAGGGACAACAGATAGCGCTACTCAGAAGACACCGAGGACGAGTCAGGCCTGCGCTGAGCTTCACACAGCCCCTGCTAACACGGTGCACAGGACGGCGCAGAGCAGAGGCCTGGTCATGCTGGCCAAGGCTTATTTCAAGGCTGAATACCAGAAACTGGCTTCTAACAAGAGAGGCCACTGGGGCAATTTCTTCACGAACAATTTTCATAAAACAATTCACATGATCCCACAAGCTATCAGAAAGGGTAGTAAGAAAAGAAGCTAAACACAACTCAATACAACAGAAAATCAGACTTATAGCCTTTAGTGAGAAATTTGCGTGACTAATTTAAAGAGCTAAATAAGGTTGGAAAACAGCACGTGGCACTGTGGAGGGTGAAGTGCCCACAGCGGCCCGCGCTACCCGGGATGCATACCTCACCCGAGCAGCCTTCCTTCAACATGTACTTCCTCACATGGCTCCAGATCCGACTCCTAGAGAGCAGGCTCCCCCCCGTGGCCTGCTCAAACTTCTCATAGCTTCCATACTTCTGTAAAGTCAGTTCCATGATGTTGATGGACTGTAAAAGAAAGCGATGATGAAAGTGAAGTCTCCTATTAATTCCAGATAAGTAATGAGCCAGTAATATTCTCATTTATCATGACCTGTTTCTGTGTTGACTGATCTCCAAATGAAAATGCAACTGAGACACCTCATCTTCCTAATCCTATACAGTTTCCAATCATTTTCACAAATTTTTAGAAATACCTGTGCATTTACAAATACTGCTCTTTGTGTTTATTTCTCTTTAACACATATGACCTACTACTATATGATTCACTACCACATGACCAACTACATATGGCCCACTACCATACCATCTACTGCCACGTGAGCAACTACATATGGCCCACTACCATACCATCTACTACCACGTGACCAACTACATATGGCCCACTACCATACCATCTACTGCACGTGACCAGCTACATATGGCCCACTACCATACCATCTACTGCCACGTGAGCAACTACATATGGCCCACTACCATACCATCTACTGCACGTGACCAACTACATATGGCCCACTACCATACCATCTACTGCATGTGACCAGCTACATATGGCCCACTACCATACCATCTACTGCCACGTGAGCAACTACATATGGCCCACAGCCATACCATCTACTGCATGTGACCAACTACATATGGCCCACTACCATACCATCTACTGCCACGTGACCACTACATATGGCCCACTGACCATCCATCTACTGCACGTGAGCAACTACATATGGCCCCTACCATACCATCTACTGCACGTGACCAAGCTACATATGGCCCACTACCATACCATCTACGCAACGGAGCCAAGCTACATATGGCCCCACTACCATACCATCTACTGCCACGTGAGCAACTACATATGGCCCACTACCATACCATCTACTGCACGTGACCAACTACATATGGCCCACTACCATACCATCTACTGCACGTGACCAGCTACATATGGCCCACTACCATACCATCTACTGCACGTGACCAGCTACATATGGCCCACTACCATACCATCTACTGCACGTGAGCAACTACATATGGCCCACTACCATACCATCTACTGCACGTGACCAGCTACATATGGCCCACTACCATACCATCTACTGCACATGAGCAACTACATATGGCCCACTACCATACCATCTACTGCACATGAGCAACTACATATGGCCCACTACCATACCATCTACTGCCATGTGAGCAACTACATATGGCCCACTACCATACCATCTACTGCACGTGACCAACTACATATGGCCCACTACCATACCATCTATTGCACATGAGCAACTACATATGGCCCACTGCCATACCATCTACTGCCACGTGAGCAACTACATATGGCCCACTGCCATACCATCTACTGCACGTGACCAGCTACATATGGCCCACTACCATACCATCTACTGCACGTGACCAGCTACATATGGCCCACTGCCATACCATCTACTGCCACATGACCAGCTACATATGGCCCACTGCCATACCATCTACTGCCACGTGACCAGCTACGTATGGCCCACTACCAGGTGTACACCCAAGATAACTGAAAACATATGTCCACACAAAAATATGTACATACATGCTCAGAGCAGCATTACTCATAATAGCCAAAAAAGTACAAACAACCCAAATATCTATCAACTGATGAGTGGGTAAATAAAATGTAATATACAGATACACGGAATATTATTCAACAATAAAAAGTACGGATACATGCCACAACATAGATGAATCATGACAACATTATGCTAAGTAAAAGAGGCTTAATGACCACATAGTGAATGTTTCCATTTATCTGAAATTTCCAGAATAGGCAAATCCACAGAAAAACAGAAAGCGAATTGGTGGTGGCACAGGGCTGGGAGGGTGGTGGGAAACAGTGAGTCATTTCTAATAGGTATAGGATTTCTTCTGGGGGGTGATGAAATGTCCTCGAATTAGATAGTGGTGATGGCTGCATAATTCTAAACATATTGAAAATCACTGACTGTTCACTTTAGATGGGTGAACGGTACAGCCTGTGAATTTTATCTTACTCAAGTTGTCATTAAAAAGGAAATAGTAATCAAATAGCGCTATGTAACTTTTAAACCACTATCCCAGGAAATAAAAAAATCTCTGTATAAACTGCTCAGCATTGTCTTGGATAAAACAAGTTTCCTGAAACATCTCAACATTCTGCTGAAAGACAGATCTGCTTCTGGTTCACCTACTGGTTCTGTTCACTGCTCAGCAGTTTGGAAATCTGACCATCAGTCACGAGCCACTTAACAGTCATGTGCAAAAAACGATCTCCCTTCTCAACTGCCGTTTTCACTCAGTGGAAAACTATACCCAACAGGGACACCAACAGGACGGGGGCGGGGAAAGACTGGCAGTCAGCAGACCTGGTTTACCCGAGTGCCCTGACTTCACTGACTGGGAGACCCTAGGCATGTCATTTTACCGTTCTCAGGTTGAGTTTCTTCACTGTCAAAATGGAGATGAAAATCTTTGCCCTACTTACTTCACAGGGTTGTTGTGAGGACAAAATGAGACACAGAAAAAGAGGAGACGAGGAGAGAGAGAGAGACTGTGAATACGTTCTGTAATCTATTTTCCATCCAACTGTGTGCCGTATTTAAGTTTTAACAGAATTAAAGGCTGGGTTTTTATTTTAGAATTTGAGGTAACTGGTTTGACCTCCACCCAACCCCAACCCTCCCTCCATTCCTCTCCCTTTAGTAAACTCTACCATCTAGAACTCCCCCACCTCAAATACCAAATGACCCCAGGAGACCACAGGCCTTGTCTTCAGGCCAGTGCTTTCCACACTGCCTCTTATGGACAGTGGTGGACAAGATATTACTTTTAAAAGGGTTCCATGGCCCTGGTCGGTTTGGCTCAGCAGTTAGAGCGTCGGCCTGCAGTCCGGAGAGACCCGGGTTCGGTTCCCGCTAGGGGCATGTACCTCGGTTGCAGTTTGTCCCCGGCCCTGGTTGGTCGTGCGGGTGGCAGCCACTCGATGTGTCTCTTTCATGTCAATGTTTCTCTCTCTCTCTCCCTCCCACTCCATCTGAACAAAAAATGGAAAAATGTCCTTGGGTGAGGATTAAAAAAAAAAGGGTTCCATGGCCAAACGTATTTGGAAAATACAAAGTTAAACAATGTTAAAGATTAAACAAAGTTAAACATGACTCTCCCAGGCCTTTATTATGATACTAAGTGTGGTGAATCTTGGGGAGGAATATAAATATTTTGTTTTCCAACTTGCATGGCCTCTTTCTCATGTAGTATTCCTCAGAATACTATGTTTGAAAATGCTTACTTCAATAAGCATGAGGTACACACACAGAAACATACATCAGTTTGGTACTCTGAGATTCTCAGAATCAAAAGCAAAATTCCAAATACTGAATACACGTTTCAATGGTGGCTACTGCTTCTTGGTAGCACTCTAGGTATGTAACAATTCTGGATCACTCAGTCCAGCCAGCAGGCCTCCACATCCAGCTCTGCAGCCACAAGCTGATGGGGCGTTCTAGCTACAGTCACCCGTCAGCTGATGGGGCGCTCTAGCTACAGTCACCCGTCAGCTGATGGGGCACTCTAGCTACAGTCACCCGTCAGCTGATGGGGCGCTCTAGCTACAGTCACCCGTCAGCTCAAGCAGGGCCGGAGTGAAGCTGGTGAACAGGAGACGTCTAGAGAGGCAACTGAAGAGCATCTCTATGTTCCAATGTTCAACAAACTCTGTGCTCACCCCAGAAACATTTGTGGGCTGAACAGGACCCCTGGGGCCACACATCTGAATCTCTTGTTTATCCAGAATTTCTAGAACCCTATCAATAAGGACCATTCATTCATTCATCTTTATGGTCACCTTCTTTGTGCCAATCATTATTACTGTTATTCCTTTTTATATTTTAGAATCTAAGCCCCTGTCCAACCATTAGGCTTGCAGAGAGGACATATAAACTAACATTATTTAGCAACACGCTTCTGGAGGTGAGAATAGAGTGTTGTGAGAGCACAGGAGAAGGAAATAGAAGTGGGGGTCTGGAGAAAATAGAGGGCATTCCAGGCAAAAAGGAACAATATTGTCAAAAGCTTATATAAAGCAAAGAGAGTGAAATACAGAGCTCCTGGACTGGGCAGGCATCAGGAGACTCATGTATTTACTGCCAGGAACTGTGCACGATTCTGAGAATAGTTGAAATAAATAAAATACACTTATCAAAGAGGTCAGTCTAGTGGTGAAGATAGAAGAAGAAACATAAGGATAGTAACAGTTTGATAAATGCTATGACAGGTCATTTGCACAAGACACTGTGGGAATACAGAGCTGACTGTGGAGATATAAGCACGAGCCAGATCGGGAGGGGTGAAAGCCCGTAGACATGCTAAGGATTTGGGGCTTTCTCCTGAAATATGAGGAGCCCTGAAGTTTTTCAGGAAAATAAGTGACATGATCAGATTTGTACCTTAGAAAGTGTGGGAGCAGGGGAGACTGAAGCAAAAATACTTTTGTCAATAATTCAGTTCTCTATAAAATAGACTGCAGACTATGAGCAGATTATAAAAAAAAAAATATTTCAAAAAATCACATTCTACACAAACAGAAACCAGGAAGTAAATAAATCTGAGCTACCAAATCTGCCTTCAATGAAGGAACAAGTGAAACAACACAGCGGGGACAAAGAAAGGTGTCACCTGCAGCCTCCCCTACCCCTCCTCGCTTTCTCTACGCGCGTGTCATCAGGGTTGGGTAGACTGGATGTCGACAATGGTGAGTGGGAACATGAGAGGGTAACTGCTACCAGGATAAGATATATATAAATTGCTTAGTACTGCAGAGTCTTTCTTCACCTACTGCAAGAAATAGAGCAGATATTCAAGCTGTTTTGTAGGAGAGACCCTGTTTGGGTAAGAACCTGAGAATGCACTTAGGCAAGTTTTCAAAGACAGATCAACAAAGTGTCCTTTCAATGAGTCATCAAGGTCATACTTTCTTCCAAGGACAATCTGACGGTGTGTTTTCATCTCTGACTGTAAGAAGATCTTCCTTGCTAGTTAGGTTAAGAAATGACCCAACTTCTCCAATCTAATATACAAAATTACTTTGGAATGTACTAAACTCAAAATTATCTTTTTTAAAAATCGTATCTTTAGGGTATCTGTGAAAGGTTTGGTGTGCTAAACAGGAAACCGTGTCATCTGGGGAGAAGTGTAATTTAAAGAAGGCTTACTTTATCCTGCCCTTTATTGTTTAGACAACTTGAGGTCTACCAAGATAAAATACCATCAATGCTAGTACAATGGAAACTTAGCCTTAAAGAAATTTCATGTCAAGTCATCCCACTATCAGTGAAGGTATCTGATTTCCAATCAAGTTGTTTCTATCAAAAACAAAAAATGAATACTTGTCTTGCTTTAGGATATATAATTTTATAAATGTATTATGCATGTGTTTTAATACAACAATGAATGACCTATTCCACTTATATTATAAACTCTAAAAGCAAGACATTGTTTTCCCAGGACCATATTTAAAAGTCATTATGTTATGCTAGTCATTGGTCTCAATAAAGCAGAGTGTATGTCTCAGATCTGGTGAGTCAGGTGGCAAACTGGCCACCCAAAGGATGAAGTGCTCCACACACAGGCTTTCCTGGTCTGGATGGCCTCTGTTTGTTTAACTGAATCAGCTGTCAATATTTACAAACTGAAGACTTCACATTAAATTCAGATATCTTCTTTCTTTTTGAAAATCATGAAGATATGATAACACTAGACCCAAGTGGTAGCTCAAATGAACTGCTGCCTGGTTTACAGTTTGTACTGTGCCAGCCAGCTCTCTGGGATCAGTTACGATCCCTGCCCAGATCTTCACAGGCCAGCACCGAGTTTGTGACCCTTCAGTACCTTAACTATGTAGTTTGCTAATTAGGTACACAAAAACCAGAATTTATTTCCTAACCTAATGAAGTTGGTCCATCTAGGTACTTAACTCCATAGCTGAACTCCGTAAGTGAAAATGCAACGCAGTGCCATAGAAAGCTGTTGCTGTGTGGTCTCAGTGCAGGAAGAAGGCTTCCCCCAGAGAAATGAGAGAAGATTCGTTTAGATTTAACAATGAGAACTCTCTCCCTACAGGCAGGGGTTGGGGTAGACTCAAAATTAGAAAGTGTTGATGAATAAATCTCAGCCATTTCTCTCAGCACTAAGGAGGGAAAGAAAGCAAACAGCTTTTTAATAATTATCATAAATTTTGTTTTAAAGAAGCATAGGTTTTATGTAAAATATATTTTTTTCCTTTATTGATTTTAGAGAGAGAGGAAGTGAAAGGGAGAGAAGACAGAAACATTGACGAGAGAGAACATCTATTGGCCGCCTTCTCCATGCCCCACACTGAGGATCTGGCCCATAGCATGGTCATGTGTCCTGACTGGGAATTGAACCGGCGACCTGTTGGTGCATGGGTCGACGCTCAACCACTGAGCCACACCGGCCAGACAATTATCATAATAAGTGAAATCTCTGCTCAATCATTTGCTATTTCCATACACACATAAAAATCACAAAATGATTGCCAAAATAGGAATAAAAGCAATAGACTTTTTAAATTAATGTTTAGCACAATCTCCGCACATTTAAATAAAAAGTGATTGCCCATCTAAAATCAGTAAGAACATATCCTTGGGTGAAGATTAAAGAAAAAAACACAGAGATGCAGTAGAAAAAGTTTCTTCTGGCAAACAAAAATAAATAGCAATATTAAAATCACATTAATCTTAAAATAGCTTTACATAATGGCTTCAATGACTGGTTGGATTCCATGTCACTTATAACATCACAAAAGCTACTGGCCACAAATCTGAAGAACCGTGTTGCAGCAGAAACGTTAAGACGGTACGCAGCACAGGCAGGTGGAACCATGCAGTGCTACCAGCCTGCCAACGATGTGCAGCCCAGACGAGCCACGCTGAGCCTGATGCGTTATACAAGCCTGTACAAGGGCAATCTAACCAAATGCTTGTGATTTCAACATGATGCCCTGTAGGTGAACGTCTGCCAACTTCTCAGACCTTAGGTAGATTGTGACATAAAGTGTTCACACACATAGCACAAAACTATATGCTGTGTGTCTACACTGAGCAATCAGGAGAGTGTTGCTTGCACCATTCACATAGGATTTGCTAGACTTGAAGATAACATAAATTTTCATTATTTTCTTCCTTAAATGAGTGCCTAAATATTTGTTTGATGATGATAAACTATGTTTGTAAAGCACTAAGAAGCTCATGGGCAAGTATCCAGCCTAGGTCCCAGGCCTGCCGGTGCCTGACGGGCTGGGAATGCAATACGACAGGACCAGAGACTGCACGTCCATCTAAGGCACTCAGAGCCAAACAGAGCACGGTGTGGGCCACCCTCGTCTGTAGGCTCACTAATGGCTACAGGTCTGCAGCTCCCACGTGAAAGCCTGGGACCAGAGTCTGAAACTTTCTTCCTAATAAAGGGTCTTACTGCCACGGAGTCTATAAAACAGATTCTTCGTAGAGTTTGATTAGTGCCAAGCAGCTTACATAAAGGCTATGCCACTTACCTGGAAATTTCTTGTCACATGTATACATGTCCTGGGTGGGAGTTAATTATAATATGTAAACAATTGGAATATTTTTAAAGTCTCTTTTTCTTTTTATAAGATTACAAATAATTGTTTTAACTACATAAACATGAAATACCACTACTGATGTAGCATTTTACCTGCTTAAGAAACCGGTCAGATACGTTGCTGTGCTTGGCTAACACACTTGGCAGAGAAGGATTCGCGTATTCAAACTGAGGGTTGTAGGTATAGTCAGACTTGAAGAATCTCAGCTTTTCCTTCTCCAAGTTGGTGGGCTTTATAGCAGTCAGTATACAAACTTTCTTTACAGAAGAGTCATCTTTTTCAAAACTTCTCGACAGCTGAGGCTGTGGCTGCGGCTTCGGCTTGAGAAGAGTGGAGAAATGGCATGCCTTAACCTTGCTTTTGGGTTTAGGTGGCAGCACTATGCTGTTCCCTGTAACAGAGAGATCACGTGGAAACGTGACCGGATCTGACACTGCAGTCGTGACAAACATGGCAGGCTGCCGTTCTAGGCAGCACCAAGTGCCACTGCTCATCCCAGGCACTGGGGTTTTCATCTTCCGAAGATCTTTACTCCGAGAAGAGCTGGGAGATTTGCTGGGTTTTCTACATCTTTTGGAGTGGGCGGAGGAAGACTGCTTTTGTGAATGATGCCTTTTCTCCTCTTTGCTCTGTAGGAGGACATTGTAACTACTGGTCCCAGTGGTGAAAATGTCCTTCAGTATTCCGGGAGGTAGATGTGAAGCGCTCCTTTTGCTGTCAAAGATCAGTGACTCTTCGGCATTTAGAATTGACTTCTTAGCCAGTTCTTGCTCAGGCCAGTGAAGCTTTTCTGTGTTAATAAACAAAATCAAAACAAAAGAAATAACAAAGATACCAGATGAGGCAAATTGCTTATTATATGAAAAGTATTCTGAAGGTTCTGTAAACTTCATAATTTTGCAACAATCTTTATAAAAGACATTTTAAGTATTAAAAGGATATATTACTAGACTTTGGTCATACTAAACATCGTCACTTCTGTATGAGAGTCTATATGCTGAAATATCTATTAAAGTCCACAGCTTCATACCATTTAGGTGATCAAAGTTTAAGATAGATGTGAGGTAATGCACATAAATAATCTAAATATTCAACTCTACCAAAGAATATGGATTTCATAAATCACAGGCACTTTCAAAGCCAATACAACTTGTAATCTGACATATTATATAAAGGTAGCCATCAGCATAGGAAGAATAACACTACTTTATTGATCTCAAAAACCACTTTTAAGTTTAAATACATGATATGTGTGTGTTCAAACATGTTTTAGTAATGTCACTCAAAACTGGCTGATTTTCTTAATTCTAGGCTATAAGTTAAGATGAAAGAAAATCAAGTTTATTTTCCTAGCCATGCCTGAAAAAAAAATTCTAATGACTGTTCCATAGATAACAGTATGTCCAATGGCAAATTAAGAAGAGATCAACTCTGTCCTTAGACATCACAGGTGGTTTAGAGAGACAAGAATCACTTGCTCCACTGCTGCTCGTGCTACTTTAAGACTGAATTGCCTTCTTTCATTCCACGAGCACATGGCATATACTACTAACTGAGCACACGGCTCTGAAAAACATCTGCACCAATACATTGTTCCTGCCTTCAGCCAGCTTCCAGTTTGGCTCTGAAGGCAAGGCAGTGCGATGAAAACCTGAATGATAATACAAGGTAGAAGAGAGCAGTGTGAAGAGAAACAGATGAGGACAGTTCAGGTAGGCCCTTAGAGCTCTCAGATTCCATTCTAAACGGACAGTGTTTGAGTTTGCCTTAAGTCCTGTTTATCTGAACTAGATTCCAGCTAAAGTCCTATCCATAAATCAGACCAAGTCTGCTCATAAACCTACTCTAAATCCCTTCTGCAAATGTGACATATTGTCATTCCCAACCGGTTCACTTTTCCAAGTCTCATGGACCGTTATGCCTCTAGCCCTCAACCTTTGGCTCCTGCTGCTGAGGCACGTTCAAAGCAAGCTGACTTGGACGAGTGCCTGCCTTGCCAAGAAAGACACGATTTATTTTATTTCAATTATCTGAAAACTGTTTATTCACATACATCCGTCATTCACTCATTCAAGATTAGACATTCAGGGATCCTTTCTACAATATGTAGTAATAAATAATAACAACAATAATAGTAGCCACCATTTGTTGACACACTTATATGAGTTTGGAATTTCACCCAAAACTGTACATGTCGTATCATGCCTCAGAGATGTTAAATAATTGGCTCAAGGTTATACAAGAAAGTGATAAACAGCAAACTGGGATTTGAATGCAGGTGTGTCTGATTAGAGTCCATGCTTATTCTCTTATGTATGGTCATTCATTCAATTATCCACAGACATTCAGTATTAAATTGGCCTCTTGCACAACACTGCACTGTTCCTCTGTATAGAACATGGCACCCCAGTAAGACATGGTAATTTGAATAACTGATGTACTAAGATAGGTCCCAGGGCCATGTTTTATTATTCTCTTTCTTTCCAGCATTTAGCATACTATCTGGTAGACATTCAGTAAGTACACTGAGTGAATGAATGGCATGACCTGGAACATGCCATTCTCCAACCATTGTAGATAAACAGGTATTAGTAGTTCTGGGACCATTTTATATTTACATGAGGAGACACTGCACAAGTGGAAATACAACAGGGAAGACCCTAAACCAGTGGCTTTCAACCAGAGGAGATTTTGCCCAGCAGGGACACTTGGCAATGTCTGGAGACACTCTGGTGTCACCATGAGGGAGGGATACTACCGGCATCTTGTGGGGGGAGGCCAGAGATGATGCTAAACATCATGCAATGTACAGGACAGTTCCTGCAACAAAAATATTCATCTTAAAATAGTGCCAAGGCAGAGACACCCTGCTCTAAATGTTTTTAAAGCCCAGAAGTCATAGGGTTAAGGGTAAAGAAATAGCCCTGACCAATTTGGCTCAGCGGTTAGAGTGTCGGCCCACAGACCGATGAGTCACGGGTTCAGTTCCAGTCCAGGGCACGTACCTTGGTTGCGGTTAGTCCCCAGCCCTGGCCAAATCATGCAGGAGGCAACCAGTCAATGTGGCTCTATCACATCGATGTTTCTCTCTGTCTCTCTCTGTCTCTCTCCCTCCCTCTCACTCAATCTGATAATAAGTAGAAAAATATCCTCGGGTGAGGAATTAAAATAAAAAAGGTAGAGAAATAGTACCAGGTCAAAAGTGGATAATAATCCAAATATGTAAGGTACTTAAAAGTCCTTCTACTTTACATTTTCTAGGCCAACACGTGAAATTTGAATTCTGTTATCTAAAAGATAACATAAAAGTATGCACTTTCAGGGGTTAAATAAAAAATCTGCATATCCGAGGTGAGAGGTAGGAGCTAGACTGCACAGGGTCATGTTGAAGGTTGATTGCACAAAGCAGCCATTCAATAAATGCTAAAGACCAGCCAGAAATAAACAGAACAAACAAAACGTTCATCACAGTGGGTAGGTCCCAGTTCCTGGGGGTTTCAGACTTAAGTGTTACCAACTGATGGTCAGCACTGGGCAGGCTGGGCAAACACAGGCTAAGGAACACCAGGACACAGGCTGCAGCCCAAATACCCACGAACAACGTCAGTCTCTCCCAAAGACACCCCAAGTTTGGGAGACAAGAGGTGATAATGAGAGAAAGACTGCATGACCTCTACCAGGGAAGGAGCCAGAGAACTGAGATAAGAATGAGGGTATCACACACCTAGACGGGCCGGGTAAGGACCAGGCACCACCAGGAAGGTAAAAGCAGGTAACCAGGTTTTCGCATTAGGTCTTCACAAACAAAAGGGGGAATGTTACCTCAAATTAAAATCGATGAACAAAGCGACTCTGAGGAATTTCACACTGTGACAGTGTATTACATTTATGTTGTGTCAGTTTTTCAAGAAACGAACATTCAGTGTAAAAGTGCTTCCTTCGGTTCCTAAGATGCAGCAGCTCTATGGCCAGAGCGGTGAGCTCACAGACTTCTTCGGTTTTGTCATAAAGCCCCAGTGACCTATAAATCTGTAATTCTGTCCCACCTCAAATAACCTATACATTTCAGGGTACTTAAAAGTCTGAAACCATCTGCCAAAACACTGGAGGAGGATTGGGGGCAGGAGAGAAGTGACCGTGCATGACAGAACCCTGTCCCCGGAGATGCCACATTCCAGTTCACTTGCTAATCACCTACCTGAGAGGCTTGGCTTCCAAACTCCATCTGCTGAGGAGTAAGTCTGGGAGCACCGACGGCATTTTTATTTAATAAATGCCAATCCTGCCAAATGCTGATATCTCACGAAGTTCATAAAAGTGGGCAGGTGGTCCTTCAAACCCCCACACAAAAGATATAAATTAATTTCTTACAGTAATCACACTAACCTTGTGTTCAGTTGCATGAAAAGGATTAGAGAACCTGAAAGTTTTTGTAATTTTAAATACTATTGTTTAAGAAAAAATGACTTTTAAACCTGCATAAGAACACAATAAAAGCCTAATGAGAAGGTTTCACTGAAGAATATCCTATTCTAACTCCTTTTTCCTGAAAAATTAACACTTTTTTTAGGCATGAGCAGGTTTCTTTGGGGGAAGTGTAACTCATTTTCCCTCCAAAAAGGAATAAGGTAACTAAACATCAAATTTTCTCTTATTAAAAGTCACTATATAACGTAGCATTTTAGCCATCAGCAATCTCAGTCACTAGAACCTTGGCATAAATGATCTGTTGATCAAAGAAATCATTCATCCCAACCTGATTACTCATACTGAAGAAAAAGGGAAATATTGCATTAAAGTGGATACTCAATATATTCACACATCTAGGTGAATATACTGAAATTACCAACACAGTGAAAGCTCCGTTTGTATCTAGAACAGGAGCAAAGGGAACCAGGACCCCTGGCTCCGTTCCCAGCTCTTTCAGTTACCTCTCTGTAACATTAGTCTAATCGCTAGCCCATCGGTGCCTCCTGCTCCTTCATCCAGAGGGACGGGGGAGTGGGGAACGCTGCTCGCTGAGCTCTGTGTCCCACAGTTGTGACGAGGTGAGGTTTCACAGTAATTATGAGGTCCCTGGCTGAAAGGAAGATTAGCTCACCAGAAACAAAGCCTCGTGGAAAATACCATTCAACCAATTTTGACCCACAAGATGGCAATTTTATATGGTTCACTAACACTTATGAAACTCAAGAATCTGGGATAATTTTACACCACAAAACAATAGGTTGCTTGATTGCAAACAAAAGAAAAGGCAAAACAAAACAAAATAATCTCCAAATAAGATTCACACTTTTATCAAGTAGTTCATCATCACTTAAAACTCAAATGAGCCCTGGCCGGTTTGGCTCAGCGGTTAGAGTGTCGGCCTGCGGTCCTGAGAGACCCGGGTTTGGTTCCCGCTAAGGGCGCGTACCTCGGTTGCAGTTTGTCCCCGGCCCTGGTCGGTTGTGCGGGTGGCAGCCACTCGATGTGTTCCTTTCACGTCGATGTTTCTCTCTCTCTCTCTGTTTCTCTCTCTCCCTCCCACTCTACCTGAACAAAAAATGGAAAAATGTCCTCGGGTAAGGATAAAAAAAACTAAAAACAAAAAAAACTCAAATGATATCATTTCTATCAACAGCAGAAAGGACCACTAAATTGTGGTGCATTGATACAACAGAATAGTACATTGCAATGACAAAGGACAAACTGAAGTTGCAAGCAACAATACAGAAGAATCTCACAGACAACGCTGAGCAAATGAAGCCAGATCAA